TTGTGACCCGGGAGGAGATCGCGTTCCTCTTCAATTATAGTTTTGTGCTGAGTGACGTTAGAATTGAGTTCAGATAACGGTAAACGCCCACTGGAGTGATCGAACATTGTAGTGTAGGTTTGCTGCCCGATTACATCGGTGACGTCAGGTTACATGTACACACTTTCTTACACCACTTACACGAACTATTTACTTACCCCTGACGGTACCTTGTGGTCGACCCTATCTCCTATCTCCGCATCTCGGTAAGCTTGTGTTTGTTTATCCAGCCACTACATAATAATTATCCATAGGCCACTTGGGCACAAAGCCTCTGGTTGCCCGTCGAGTTGGGTTACTGATGGGCCCTAGCCCAGTCGACTTCTGTCGGGGCAACTGAGGCCCGTAACATTTTCTGGTAGCAGAGCGTGGTTGATTGTTTCTCCAATCACGCCCGGCCGTAATTTTTTTTTATAGGATTAGGGTGACAAACGAGCACACAGTCCACCTGATGGTTAGTGGTTGCTGCGGCCCATAGACTTCTACATCCATCTTCCATTACAAATCAAAATGTAGATGCGTTGTCACCCGTGAGGACCAAGATGGAATGCCTCATTTGCAGTAAAAAGGGCCTCTGGCCACCTGGACTCACCAAGCGAAACGCAGATGTAAACCTCTACTTCAGGCTGGTTTTCTGTGAGGTCGAGGTACCACCCCGATTCGAGCCGGCCCATCCGTGCGACAGCAAAATCTGCCTCGTGGCTCTACCACTGATTAAATAAAATTCTTTTTTTCTTTTTTTTTGATAATTTTTGTTTTGTTAGCGGATCGGTGGTTAGAACCACGCCCGTTAGGCTGCGCAAGCAGAAGTGTAGTTTAGGGTTGGGTACCTACGCGTCAGGTATTTCGGGTAGGTAGATTAAATTGCCGAAGGATCGGTCTCCTGAGCGAGGCATCTTTGCTGACCGACTGTAGTGTGTACTTGCCGTGTAGTGTAATTTGTATTTAATTTAATTTAATAGTAATTTGTATTTAGGAGTGATGCCATCGCACAAGCCACCGGCGCTTCGACTGCAGGTGGAGCTTCGCTGGGCCGCGAATGCCCATAGTTTGATAGGGCGACCCGATCGGGTCCATAGTTTAGTGAACCGGCTCGAGCAGGACGCTGCTCGAAGGGCCGTAGTGGAGAAGGCTTACACTGAGCTTGTGGCCTCGGATGCGGAACAGGGAGTCCTAGACTCCTGCCTCGCGGACTACGAGCAATTGTTTTCGCTCATGGACAACTTGATCGAGGCAGGGGCCAAGTATGCTAATGAAGCGCGTGAAGCTCGGCTGAGTGGCCTGTCCGAGTCCCCTCGGAAGCAGCCTACTCAGCCGGAGCTGTTGGGATGACTCCGAACTCTGGACCTGCCAAGGTTCTCTGGGGTCCTCTCCGACTGGCTGACCTTTGTTGGCCTTTTTAAAAGCCTAGTGGACGCCCGGAGGGACTTGACACCAAGCCAGAAGATGGCGTACCTCCTGGCCTCACTGGAGGGGGAGGCCCTGGGAGTCGTCGGCCATTTTAAATTGTCGGACGACGCCTACGGCGTACGGCAAGGGACGGCGCCTCCTATATTCCGCCCTTCAGGGACCTGCTGCGGTTCTTGGAGGAGCAGTGCCAGCAAATTGAGAACGCAGCGGGCACCGTCGACGACTTACGGGTTGCCAACTGAGCCGTGCCCAGGTAGAGGTGGAATTCGCCAGGCAAGTCGTCGCCAAACCCCCTAAAGCCGAGCGGAGTTTCCGCGGGAGGGCGCCGCCCCATATCATTTTATAGCGGCCTAGCTGCCAGGGAGGCGACCCCTGCTCCTATTGTCAAGCATCCGATCATCGGGTGACGTCGTGCCCGAAGTTATTGGGTAAGCCGGTCCCGGCGAAGCGAACTATCGCCAAGGAGTGCCGCTGGTGCTACTCGTACTTGAAAAGGCACCTCCAACGAGACTGCCCGCACCAGTCCGCACTGCCAGGGCAACCACCATGCCGTGTTGTGCCTGGGTGCGAACGGCGCTTCCTCTCGGGGCTCTGCCGGGCCCTCAACTCCCACAGGCGGGGGCGCTCAGCCACGCCCTCTGTCGGGCGACGCTCGGCGCTCCCCTGCCGGCCACTGTGCCCTTGGGTTTGAAGGGGGTACCTCCCCCGACCAGTGGAGGGGTCGTTTCCCTAGGAGTGGGGGGGTCGTGGACCGGTTCTGTGGTCTCCACCTCCTCAGACGGCCGACGCACTCTCTGTTGTGGGCGTGTCCCTTTCGGACGTCGTCCAGCGGTTCTGGGAAATTGAGGAGCCACCAAACGCGGCTCGAGTCAATCCTCTGGACCGTGAGTGCGAGTTGTTCTACCAGAACAATACCGGCCGTCGTGTCGACGGTCGTTTTGTCACTCGCTTACCCTTTCTAGACTCACGGCCCCCTTTGGGCCAATTTCGTACCCTGTCCGAAAAGAGGTTGCTTTCCATGGTGCGCCGTATGCGGCGCGACCCAGCCTTTCGTGACAAATATGTCGAATTCATTTATTTATTTATTTTATTTATTTATTTCATTTCATCTTACAAGCTAACAGATGACACATCCAAAACGCTTATAAGATTAACAATTCGGTATTACACATCCTCGTCATTATATAGGTAATAGCAAAATTATTTTACAATATCCTAATTAACAATACATCAATAATATCATAGAAAAGAAATCATAAAAAATACAATCTGAGTCCATAAATACATTAATATTAAAATAAAATAGCAATAATAATAATAAAAAAAAAATAAAAAAATAAGAACAGCAATTATAATAATTAATTATGAAAACAATATACGTAAGTTTGATGGCTAGAATTTATTTAAAATTATTTGAAATTTTTTATACAAATGTCCTAATCCGTCGGCAAATAAGTCTAGCTCGTTGTGCTGTGCAAGTATGTCCCCAATAATGCGGAGTGCGCGGTTGGTGGGCGCTTGACGAGCGCGCTCGGTACGTGCGCGGGGGGGCTCCAGCAGTCGCGGGCGGCGCCGCGGTGCCACCTGTCCCTGCGAGTTTGCTGACACGTTCCCAGGGACCAAGATGCGGACACGCTCTAGTATTTGGGGACTATCAATCCTATTATGAATTATGGACAGATATTGCATGACTTGAGACACTGCCCTTCTAAGTTTCAAAGTTTCAATGTCCACCATACCAGACACGAATAAGGAAGGGTATAAGTAGGGATAGTATCCGTACTGTTTCTTATATATCCATCGAGCAAATTTACGTTGTAATTTTTCAATCATTAGAACGTATTTCTCTTCGTAAGGATTCCAGATAACAGCTCCGTACTCTAGTTTACTGCGCACATAAGCATTATATAATACTTTTGCGACCCGTGTATTATCAAACTGTGACGCAGTCCTTATGACAAACCCTAACATTTTATGCGCTGACTTACAAATTTTGTTGATATGCGTGTGAAAATCTAATTTGCAATCTAATAGTAATCCTAAGTCCCTAATCTCTTTAACTCTTTCCAAAGGATCGTCAGTCAACATATAATTAAAAATAATGGGCTGTGATTTTCTCGTGAAAGTTATTATTTTACATTTGAGATTATTGAACGGAAGGTGGTTTTCTTGACTCCATATAGACACAGCATCAATATCTCTTTGTAATGTCACGGCATCAGCCTCAGTTTCAATACCTAGAGTTAGTTTCAGGTCATCCGCAAATAGGAGACACTCTGCAGTCAAAACAACATCTGGCAAATCGTTGATAAATATCACGAATAGCAAAGGCCCTAACGTACTACCTTGACTTACTCCTGACCTAGTAAAGTAGTCTCCAGAGTTATATCCACTGAGCCTCACATATTGACGTCGATTATTAAGGTAACAAGAAAAAAAAATTGAGGAGCTTTGGTTCGAATCCAACAATCGCCAACTTTTTCAATAGTACATCGTTATCCACAAGGTCGAAGGCTTTCTGGAAGTCAAAGTAAGCCGCATCAACTTGCCTTCGCTTATCCATTTGTGAGCAGATATAGTCTACATGCGCGACCAAGTTGGTGACGGTGGAGCGAGCTGTACGAAACCCATGTTGACCATTATGCAACTGTTGACCGATTTGGCATTTGATGGAATCACTTAGAATTGCTTCAAAGATCTTACCAAAAACAGATAGGACAGCTATAGGTCTGAATGAAGTAACATTTGTGCCTCCGTCTCCTTTAGGAACAGGAGTGACTCGAGATAGCTTCCAGCTCTCAGGATATCTTGACTGGGTCAATGAAAGATTATATAAATACAGAAGAGGCCGCCCAAGGACTGATATACAGTCCTTAACTAAGAAGACAGGAATGCCATCCGGCCCACCAGCCGATCGTGGCTTAAGGCGTCTCACTACCTTCTTCAGATCGTTTTCATCAACTGTCGTGATGGAAACTGAGGTCACATCTCGATGTATATGTGCATATGCAGCTTTTGCAGCAGTATCCGGGTTTAGCACGGGTTTCTCTGCATGAAAAACGGACGCAAAATATTTAGCAAAGGCATCGGCTGCGGCTTGATCTGTCACTGCAGTATTTTCATATATATATGTATCTATGTACCTTCTATTGTTTTTCTTCTCCTTTACATATTTCCAGAATTGCACAGGATCGTCAATGATATTTTTTTGTAGTACAGTCATATATTTCCGGTATTCGCAGTCAATCAATTTCTTAACTTTTTCTCTATAATATATAAACATAGCCTTATTAAATTCTTTGCCCTCTTTTTTGAATTGCTTATGATGAAAGTGTTTGTTTTTTATATTTTTTATTATTTCTACGTTGTACCAGTTTGGATATATGTATCGCTGATTGTTTGATAATTGTTTTTTAATAGGCACAAACAGATTTATAATTTCGTATAGCTTATCATAGAACAGCTGTACAGCACAGTTAATATCGCTTATTGTTAACAAATCAGACCAGTCTATTTCAATCAAAGTCCTATATAGACCCTGAAAATCTGCCTTACGCCAGTTCCAATCTGTATTGGTATTCGAGCGAGGTACAAATCACATTTTCTATACATGTCAAAACATTCAAATATTGCTCATCCTTATAATTTGGTGGCAGATATACGACACAACATAAAACTTTTACATTTTTAAATGTCACAATTGCAAATATTAATTCTTTGTCATCAGTCATACTAACAATATCCGTAACTATTTTAACATTATGACGATCACGAATCGCGAGCAAAACTCCTCCCCATCCACAATCACCAGGTCTATCTTTACGAACCACATGAAAACCCGGAGGAAAGAGTTCACCATTGGACACTGAACTCGTAAGAAAGGTCTCAGTTAATGCTATCATATCATATTCACTTTCCATAACATTATTAAGAAACATATTAGTTTTTGTTCTTAGGCCACGAACATTTTGGTAACATATTTGCATTTCATGGAATCGCGGTTGACGTTTGATTGTTTTTGTCTTTGGCACGAAAGTTCTGCCGCCATGGTTTAATACAAATATCTTCAGCCCAGTTTTCAGATGACATTATATTTCCGGCCTGCTTCAATGGAACTCCGAGTTTGAACGATGCATAATGTCCACGTGGTTTCAATTTTTCAACCGTGCATTCGCCGTTCCCACATATTGAGTTAAGATGTTCGTGTACTTGCTCTACTGTGGTGCCTTCTCGTACGTAGTTTAGATGCAGGTATCTTCGCCTTTCAGCAGCATGCAACATCGTAGAACCAGGCGCAGCGGTACCTCGAAGCAACCCGGGAAGTGAGGGGCGTGCCCGTTTGCGTGATACTTCTTGCCAGTTGTCATCAATCCGCTCGCAGTCCTGGCTATTATTTAAAGAGACGGAAGACTCGGAATATTCTGCGTGCATCATCTTTTGAGCACTGATAACTGAAGCCACAGATAAGACTTTATTTGTTCTGGGGACAGTAAACGCAGACTGATCCTTATCAGTTCCGAGATGTTCGATATTTGGTTGAGGTTGAGGTTGAGGTTTCCGCTTCGGAGGCTTATTTTGTGTAGTGAGTATATTTTCAAGGGTTGGACTGGTTTGAATGTCTAATATGAATGAAAATGTCGAATTCATGCGCGAGTATCAAGAGCTGGGTCACATGTCACCTTCCAACTTCGACTGGCTGTCACAGGAGCACTACTTCTTCCCTCACCATGCGGTCTTGAAGACCCCTGGGAGTAAGATTCGGGTAGTTTTTGACGACTCCGCTCCCTCATCAAATGGTGTGTCCCTCAACCAGTGTCTCCACTCTGGTACTAAATTGATCAAGGACATATCCGACATTTTGACCCACTTCCGTCGGCACCAAGTGGTTTTTGTAGCCAACATTCAGATGATGTTTCGATAATCAGTGGTCCATCGTGATGACCGTCGATATCAGCTGATATTGTGGCGCGAGAAGCCCAGCGATCCAGTGCAAGTGTTTGAGTTGGACACCACCACCTATGGACTCCGGTCCAGCCCGTATATCGCCATGCGAACCCTCCTTAAACTCGCTGAGAGAGAGCGTCTAAGATACGCTCGGGGGGCTTCTATTTTGGAGACTTTGGTCTACATGGACGACATTTGCACGGGCGCCTCCACCGTCGAGGAGGCTCTTGTATTGCGAGACGAATTGATTGCCATCCTGAAGTCCGAAGGTTATGAGTTGCGCAAATGGTTGTCGAACTCCCATCATATTTTGAGGGACCCCCCAGGAGAGGATCAACAAGACCCTCATCTATTCGAGCACCCTGAAAATCCTAATTTGTTGACTGTGCTGGGCATTCAATATTAGCCTGTTCAGGATACTTTCACGTATCCAGTCAAACTCGATCCCCCTCCCAAATCATGGACCAAGCGCTCCGTGCTGTCTAGAGTAGCCCGCACCTTCGATCCTAATGGATTGATCACTCCGGTCATTTTTTTGGCTAATTGCTTTCTTCAAAAGCTCTGGATATCCGGGTTGGGTTGGAACGACCCTATTAGCGGTGCTCTCTTACGAGAAAGGCACTCCATTGTGTCCTCCCTTCCAGACATCAACCGGGTCTCCATGCCAAGGTGCTTCCTCCATCCAGGGAAATGCAGGGCTATCCTACATGGATTTGGCGACCTCTCTGAGAAAGATGCTGCTGTTGTATATTTGCGGACTGTGAGCTTTTTTGGCCATACTTCCGTTCATCTCGTACTTGCTAAAAGCAAGGTTGCTCCCATTAGGTCCCGCTTAACTATCCCTAAATTGGAACTGTCCGGAACCGCTCTTCTCTCGCGACGTTCACTCGTCTTTGAAGTCTGTAATCAAAATTACGGACGTCTACGCTTGGTCGGACAGTGAGATAGCACTTTGTTGGCTCAGAGCTGCACCACACAATCTTGAGGTCTTTGTGGCGAACCGCATGTCTCAAATCCAAAATTCTGGGACGTCTCTAAACCGGAGACATGTCCCAGGAGAGTTGAATCCCGCAGACTGCGCTCCTCGCGGCTGTGAAGCCCCCTCTTTGGTTGACCAACCGCTGTGGTGGGGTCCCAGTTGGTTGACTGAGTCTCAGTTATTCTGGCCCCAGAATAAATACTCCGAACCGATTGAATTGCCTGGCCTACGAGCCCGGGTAGGAGTGGGCAAGGAAAAGCCAACTCGGGATTTCTCCCTGCTAGAACGGTATAGCTCTCTCGATAAGCTGTGAGAGCGTAGTCCTTCCCCGGACGGATCGACCCATTCGTACTACAACCATAATATAGCTGCAGCATGGCTCCACTACATACAAATCTTTATTTTTAGAACTTGTATTGCTTTTGTATTCGTAACATTTTAAAGTCTTTTTTACTCCTTAAACTATGTTTTATTGGAATATTAAAACTACATACGTCATGTTATTTTTGGATGACAGCGTTTTATATGTATCCCAATTTTCAATCATCTGCGTAAAACGCGTAGAGAAAAATCATTCGGTTTTGCGAAATTTTACACAGATTACTTTAAAGTATATAATTTTACCTTTTATCATCCCTAACTTGTTTGATATTTGCTCCTTTTATATGTTTATCTCCAGTTGACAGAGAGAATGCTCTATTAGATAAAGTCCGCTATATGTACTACTTTGTGCATTTGAACGTAAATAAATAAAATGAAGTTAAAAAAAAACTATCAAATTACCGATTAATATTTTCACTTTGTATTTTAACCTTAAATTCAGCTCAGTATACAACATTAAAACCGAATGAAACATATTTCATTAATAATCATACAAGCCGTTCCCTACCAGACCGGAAGTTTAGTATGAATAATTCATGCGAATGACGCTGTTTTTTATTATAAAACCACAGCGATTTTTGTCTGTTGTCTTCATTCCGTGAGCTGTACCCGCTTCTCAATTCAAAAAGAAGAAATAAACTACTACTTACTAGCTGCCGCATAAAATAAGTGAAAACTGCTCTTAAATTTAATTTATTTTTGGAAATAATGTGTGCTTAATACTTATACTTAATACTTATCTTCACGCACAATCCCTGACGGGGTAGCCAGAGAGAACAGATCGCCAAGTGTCACGATCCTTACATATCTCTTTCGCTTCTTTCAGATTCATTATCTTCTTCATACATGCACGTCTAGGTATCCGAGTACTCTTGACCCTACCCTCTTCGAGCAATTTGCTCACATGGTCTTCGAAAGTTAGTCTCGGTCTACCTCGACACCTTTTAATATTAACTTTCGCGCTATATATTTTCTTCACCATTCGGTCTTCACTCATTCGCTCAACGTGCCCAAACCACCGAAGCACGCCCTTATCAATTTTTGTGATAAGGTCATCTTTCAAACCTGCCATATTGCGAATCTCTTCGTTTCGTTGAATAAAACTATTTTTACGGATTTTATCGCGTTTAATTTACTTATTTTATATTCCCGACGTTTCGGTTGCTTTCCAGCAACCGTGGTCACGGGGGACTGAGGTGATTGACGTCCCGATGTCAAAGTTAACCCGGAGTACCTTCAGCTTTTTAATTATTAATTTTGGTCCGATCTACGCAGAATGAACTAACTGTGTCTTGAAGTCTTACAGTGGTATGCTTGGGTTTAGTTTTAATTTTATGAATTACAGGATCCCAAGCAGGTGGTAGTACCCAGCCTCCCTCTCTATTGAAATTAGGATGTTTTTTAATTTCAATAGCCTCACGTATCATCCTTGGCAGGAATCGATGTTCTTTCGCGAGGACTTGTGGTTTATCAAATCTAATGTAATGACGGGGGCCGTCTAGGATATGATCACAAACTGCAGACTTCCCGGAACGTTGGTGCTTCACGTCAGCTATGTGTTCTTTTACGCGGGTTTTTATTGATCGTTTTGTTTGCCCTATATATGAGAGACCACACTCACAATCAAGCTTGTATACTCCTGCATCTTGTAGAGGAATATTGCACTTGACGGATGGTAAGAACTGACTAATCTTCTTCGGCGGCTTGAAGAATGTTCTAATAGAAGCTCGCTTCAAGATGTAGCCAATCTTGTCTGTGACACCTCTGACATATGGTAGTACAGCAGGCACACGCTCGACTGTGGCCGGCTTCACTCGGTCACTATGACGTAGGCGCGGAACCCGAAGCTTGTTGTCGTGCAGAACCTGCTTGACGTGCTGAAGCTCGGCGGCCAGGTGTTTGCTGTCACAGATCCCTCGTGCTCTCTGCAACAAAGATTTGCCCACGGTAGCTAACTGTGAAGGGTGATGGTGGGATTCACCGTTTAAGTATCGGTTTGTATGGGTCTTTTTTCTATACACAGTGTGACCTACGGTGTTATTAGGATTTCGAATGACTAACACATCTAGGAAAGCTAAAGAATTATTTGCCTCTAACTCCATAGTAAATTGAATTTTAGAGTTTATGGAATTAAGATGTTCTAAAAATGCAGTTACTTTGTCTGATGGTAAAATTGTGAAAGTATCGTCTACGTACCGCTTGTAGAAACTTGGAGTTACTGGTGCAGTAAGCAGGGCTTTCTCCTCAAAGTCCTCCATGAAAATATCGGCGACAATGGGAGATACCGGTGAGCCCATCGCAACACCATCTACTTGCTTGTAAAACTGTTCCTTCCACAATAGGTAGCCAGATGTAAGGCAATGTCTGAGTAATACTGCATATTCTGCTGGCATGTTGTTTTCCTCTAGTTTCCTAGTTATAATTGAGATGCAGTCTTCAACAGGTAGGCATGTAAATAGAGACTGAACATCAAAACTGACCATAGTTTCATTGTCAGTAAGACATAGGTCTTTTATCTCACTGACAAAATGGTATGAATCCTTAGTGTGTGCTCTTGTATGTCCTCTGAGTGGTGATAGTACTTTTGCTAAGTGTTGAGCCAATCTGTAAGTTGGC